GGGGGGGGGGAACAGAAGAGTGTATCAAAGACGAAGGTAGATAAGGTGGAAAAAGGTGGGATGAGTACTGTGAAAGTAGTCGAATATGACATACAGTGGGGTGTTGGTAGTTTGAAGTGAGAAGTCAACTGCCAGGTAATAGACTTTTTTGCCGTATGAGTATATGTTGCCCAGGGTGCACCACGTGGAGTAAGTCTATCACACACCCCACACTAGATAATATAGAAAGGGATAAATTTATAAGTCAACAATAATCCTTGTGTATTTTAAATTGACTTAAATGGGGAAATTGACCAATGGCCAATTTTGAGTTCAGTATGTCGTAGATGATATTTCATTTTATGAATATGAAAAATTTATAAAAAAATACCTTGGTATATATATATATCATTTACTAAACATTTAAATTATTTTATAAATGTAGAACAAAATTGTGATGGTTATAGTAAATACATGTACGTGGAGATATTTTGTCATGGCAATCGCATTTTCCATGTTTTAAAATTGGTTAGAAAGTTTAAAAATGATATGAGGAATTTTTGCGAAGTTACCAATTGAATTAGTGATAGGTAACTTATATGTGTCCAATTAATATTAGCTAGAAACCCCAAGTTGGGGAATGAATCAGAATACGCAGGATTACGAGTAAACGAACTGTTTTATGCAACACGAGTGTTGCGTAGATTACAGGAAGATTTCAGTACATCTTATGTTCATTAAAAATTAAATTTTTACTATTTCTTGAGAAATAAGGGTTTCCTTGTGATGGAAGACTTTAGTTTGCAGTATTTTATGCTCACTTCGACAAAGTAGCAAATGCATTAGCCAATGCAAAATATGCCATTTTGTTGGTTTCGTCAAAGTGCAAAGTTAGTATTCCCTTTGCCGTCAGCTAGTGACTGGAAAGAATTTTTTACTTCTAAGCATTTTCAAAATGTGCGAATTCTAAAAGCAAAGTTTGTAGTGCACTTAAGCACTTAGTTCTAGCATTACTCTGTTTAGATGGGTCGTTAAAACTACAGGTTAGTAAACAAGCAGCAGCCTTAGCATAAGTTGGGTTGTGTAACCCTTACCTTCCATTATCACCAACTTTATAGGCTTGTAAAAAGTAGTTAAAAGTTTAAAAGTCAATTCTCTGGTGAGCAGAGCTTATCTGTGTTATCAATTCCTCGTTTTAAAAGTCTTTTCAGTATGGAAAACAAATTGAGATGAGATTATAGGGAGGGAGGGAAAATGCAGTAAAAGCAAACCAGAAAACAAGAGGATAATATGAAGATCGGCAATTGGAGGTGTTTAATGTAAATGTTGAATAGGGATAAAAGTGAAAGAATGTCAAAATTCCTAGGGCTGTTTGATGAAGGGGGGTCGGACTTCTTGAAGTAATCCAGGAAGCGCCAATTTTTTCAATATCATCGGCTAGAGGCTCATATCCGGTATTCAAAATTCAACCAGGTGTAAGGTCTTCGTAGGAGGCTAATTTATGCCAATTCAGGTAGAAAATGAACGTTCAAATACTAGAATGTGCATACTTGCCCCCCCCCCTGTCACGGCATGCCGAAGCTTTATCTTTATTTATAGCAAATCAACAGAGCAAACGCGTAAATGCTCTCTTGCATATTTTATAATTGAATGGTTGCGGACCGTCTTTCTTTCGATTAAAATTGTCATTTTTGCGCTAGACTTAAAGGTTTAGGGAAAACTAGTTTTCGTTCAACGTGGAATCATGAAGTGTGGAAAGGGCAGAGCTTGGTTGGTGTCATTTAGTCGGCATTTTGCGTGGGAGAAGATTTTTGTCTGAAGCATTTGGTGCTTATAATAGTGAAACGAAGTGAAATGGTTGGAGAAGTTTCATCTCGTCTGCAATATTCATTTTAATCTAATGAAATATATGGAATTATATGCGTTTTTCTTATAAGTACCTTCCTTCTAGAGTAACATTGGCTTCTTTATCTTTAATCTATCCTTTAGTCAATTACATTATTAGCGCGGCAACTTGTTCACAATCATTCAAAGTGGGAATATTTCGAATAAAGGAGAAATTTTCAAACCTAATTTCGATTCACAATTAAAAATTTTCGATTCGGAATTAGGTAGGACAAGTCTCGTTACCAGAATTTGCACTAAATCATCCCTATAAGAAATTTATTCCCATGTATGAGTCCTGGAAAAAATTGGCAAAGAAATGAAATCTCCATATAATAAAGAAATATAATTAACAATAGTGATGCCAATTTGAAAATAAATGACGACTTAATAATACCAACAATGTAGTTATCTGCCCCAATGGTCAACTATTTCGTCAACTTTGGGTCTGTGTCATATAATATTCAATAACCATTTTAGAGACATTTTAAAGGGTTAGAGATCTGATATAAAATAGACATATATCCTCATTGAAGTTTTTTTCAAATTAGCTTTGAATTATAAATATATACTCATCCGCGCCTGCTTAAGTGTTAAAGTATACACCAGGGACATTTAACAAATTAGAGGAAATCTGGTGAACAATGATTTTTATAGAAGAGGTGAAGAAAAAAGGAATTGCTGCGCCAATTAATCGCCTCAGAAGTTTACTTCGTTTCAATGGTAAGAATCAGAAAATTACTACCCTTTTTATGAATTAGCCTTATATGATTATGAATTTAGACATTTAAAATCCTATAAAATGATCGCACTATTTTGGCAGATCATATGGAAGTGAACGAAACCTCCTGGCTGGGTCTGGATGCCGGAAAATGCGCCATCTTCGGGGTTGTAATGAAATCTATTGTAACAACTGGATTGCATGAATTCAGGTTTGTAACAATTAATTGTTTCATTTATTAAATACTGAATTTATTTTAACAATACTTTGTTATTTGGATTGCCAACTTGATTTAGGACTTTTTTTAATGAAAATGATGAAGGAATTCTGTTTCGGCATTGTTGTTAAGAATTAATTATATTTCTCACCAAGTAGCCTACGAAGGGCAGGGTTCCACAATAATAAAAGATTAAAGTAATGTTAAGCTTTACTCATAAATAATGCAAAGTAATAATATGTAATTGGTAAATTCAAACAAATCTGTCAGATTTTTTATTCGATTTTTCTCGGATATAGGTTATTCTCGCTATAAAACATTATTAATTAGAAAAAATTATTAAAAATACCCTTATTTATTCAATATATCAGTATTGTTTCATCAATGTGAACATACTAACTTTTGAATAATTTGCTTATCTTCATAATTAACACACTAAATGAGGACATCGGGAATGGACGTTTGAAAATTCGTCTCTTTAATTGAGGGCTTTGATGTTAATATTCTTAAGTCAGTAAATGACAACTATTTTTCTCAGTGATAGAATTTTTGGAAACTGGCACTAAATGGCGAAAACCTTTTTTACCATTAAGTGGATTGACTTTATCATTTATATTTTTGTTACCAAGTGTACTTGAGCTTACTTCTTCAAGGTCGTTCTCGTCACTTTCCTGTTTAAAAATTATGCAAAATTGACCAATAGTAGTTCATCGATGAAATTTTTTTTCTATCAAATATCTTTTTCTGCTTTTCATATGCCTAATTTTTGTATGAAATAAAGAAAGGAATTAAGAACATATATATTAATTTATTTCAAATTTTTGATCATTTCCCATTAATAGTAGAATCAAAATTTGTCGCAAGGACGGAATTCCTCCTATTTGTTATTGACATTAGGTATGATGACTCACAACATGGTTGAAATAGAGCTTTATAAGGAATCAAATTTTGAGCTAATTTGCAGAGTGAATTTTGGACAACAAAAATTACCAATTTGAATTAATGAACAAAAAGATAAATTACTAGCACACATTCATAAACGTCACAATTATATCCTCGAATTTACTTTCGGGGGCCTTTTATAAAATGCATACGCCACTCTAGCCTTTCAATTGATTGAAACACCCTTCTGTTCTTCCCTTTCGAATTTTTTCTCACTTTGATTCTCCTTCTCCTCTCTGTGAAGCCCGAAGTCAGCTAATGAGCTATTGATAACTATCAAAGCGCCTTCCGTTTGAAATAAATTAGTGCCTTCTTTTGGTTCAGTGATCTATAAAATTTTGAAAAAAAATCATGCTTAACAAGAGTTTATTCTTTTCATTCAGAATAATGTTAAGTCCTGCAAGCGCCCTTCTTTCGCGAGTGATCATCCGAGTTGGCGAAAGGAATCCCCGACTTCCAGAAGTACCTAACCACCGGGTTTTGATGCGATTTGAGCCTGGATTCGCTGTCAGAGCAGATCCAAGAACGCATATTCTTCAGACGCTGATTCGCAAATGGCAATTTCTCGTCACTCTGGATGATTATCTTCGACCGGAATGTCAGAAAGAAGGTCATTACGTGTGTAGCAGCGATATGGACATTCTGATCATAAGCGTTGCTCCCGATGGTAAACGTATGAGTTAACACTTTAATTAATCATCTTCCACTGAATGTTGCTATTTCTATTTATGACGCATGACAAAAAGAAGGGCGGTTTACATTTTTGAATTAATTGGGAGTTTATTCGAATAAGATCACGAATTAAGAAGACGGGATTTCTTATAAGACGCGTAATATTTTGCAAGTGGATCATTTTAGGTTTGGGTGGTGATGTTTGTGATTCGCATTGAAAGAGTGAAAACTGCACTTACACAAGGTTAGTAAAAAGGTTGGAACTTTGAAAAACTTTTTGATAATCTCTTGTTCAAATCCTTTTAGGTACAGTGTAATACAGACTCCATTAGTAATTATATAATCAGATAAATTGTTAGCTCTCCTCGTATTTTAGAGCTAGGAAACCAATAATTAACATTCGTTTTAGGGGATTTCTCTCAAATACTTACAGATTGAAGCCAGTTAGCACGATTTAACATGGTAAAGCAAAGTAAACTGCAACTTGTAAAATTTGTTTCCCATTTGCTTTCTTCTTTAAACACCTTTTTAAGCTTTACTTTCATTTGTACAAATCGGAGAATGGAAATTTAGGATCAAAGGCTTCTATTTCATTATTACAAAAGAATGTAAAATTGTTGCCAAAGAAATTGGCATGATAAAAGAATGTTGTTATAAATTTCCCTCAAAATGGCTACTTTTTAAGTCCATCATTAATTTTCCTTCTTCTTTATAAAGGGCGTCAACGTATCTTCCCAATAACAACAAAAATAACTGGTTTAGTAAGGTCGCCCATTTTTAATGAAATTTAAAATTCTAAGCAGGGTGAAGTTTCTTCATGACAAGTATGAAAAATATTGACTGTCTCCAGTTTCCTATTTATTGAAAGGGTGGCATTTGAGTGGCGTATTTATGATTGATCAAGTTCAATGATAGAGATGGGAATAAATATTCAGTTGATATTTGATATGCCCCACTGTCCCGTTAGGAATCATGAGCCCGTTACTCATTGGAGAATGCTTAATTTCGCGAAAAGCCAATGATATTGTCTAATTCTATTCCACTAAAACGGGAGAATAGCATTTTCCCACAACTTACTAATGTGTCCTTCTTCTGTTCATCCAAAACATTATTGGCAGCGCAATTTATACATACTTGAAAATGGGTCCTTAACTTGACAATCTTTGCATGGAAAAAAAATGAGTTTTTTGTCAATTCTGGTAATGGAATACGCAACCATAACATGAGGGGCTAAATTTGCAATATTAGAATGAACGCTGAAGAATTATATTTTAAACTCTTTGAGAAATGCCGATGTTTTCTGTGTTTGAAAGAGGAAGGAAGGAAGAAATTTGAAAGTACCAGGTAGCAGTCAATTTTCACCAAAAATTCACATTTGAAACTAATGCTATGATAAGAGCAACTGCAAATTTGTCCATTTTCCCAAATAGTTTTCCGCAGAGGCAGAGACACCCTGATGTTATTTTCAAGAAAAAAAATAAAATATTCATTAGTGTATTTTGAAGCTTTGAGAGAATGCAATGTTCCCTAGCAATTTGAATTTCATTATTGGGTGTAAAGAATTTCTCTTGTCAAGAATCGGTGTCAGTAGACATTCCTCCAAATAGTTATTTTGAAGAAATATTGAAGCAATTTAATGAGTGTATGTTTTCTCTACTTTAATTAACTCTAAGATTGAATTAGATTTCCACGGTTTCTTCTTTTTTAACTGAGGTAAATTACAATAATTAATTTTATTAAACTAAACCTTTTATAATTTAAATCGTCACATCAGTGATAATTTAAAGTTTTTATAAAATATTGATTTTTCTAACTAAGTGCTCTTTAAGTCAAACTACTTTATTTAAACAAATAGTTATGCTATATTTTATAATAAATTTGTCACTTTTAAAGCAGGTGAGGTTTGACAAATTTTTAAATGTCGATTAAGAACTTTTTGTGCACTTTGCCAGCAATGAAAGCAAATGTGTGAATTTAGATTGATTAGATAACCAACTTGGAGTTTATTTAATTCCCACATTTTTGTCCGAATTTAGGTGAAGTCCTCAATGTAATTTGGGCAAAGAAATCACTTGTATATAATAGCCGGTTTCATTCAAGTGGCTTATATCATAATAAGTATAAATCTCGAAGTCGTCGGGCCTTGAATTATGGCGATATTCCAGTTCCCAGGCTACCGGATCCCCAATTGTCCTGCCCGTGGAATGAACTGGAAGAACTCACCCTTCGGTTGCAGACAAGTCTTTCGGACTCACGAATTCAACCTGAACTGCAACGGCGTTTCCAGCAAGAAGGTTTTGGTCGCTTGCTTGACGTCAAGATTGAAAGACTGGGGAAATGCGCCGAACAATCAAAGCCATCTATTACGGGTACGCATAGAAAGCTTCATAAATTTCCTTATAATGAGCCATTTTAGAGTGTAGAACGCAGCGGTGTTAGTGTAGTAAATTTGGCTCCTACTTTCTGCTAACACAGTCAATTTGAGCTTGTCGGGTTCATTTGATTAAAGTCATTAGTTGGATTTTATTTCGACGAAAATGCCTGGTCTTTATTGGGCAACTGGTAAAATAGCACTTATTGGCTCAAGAGTACTCTGAAATTTGACAATGAACTAGAGATATGTTTTAGTGTTGCATGCACAATTTATTCTTCTTATGGCATTATTATTACCAGAGCTCATCAATGGTGACATCAGGCTACCAAGAAACCTTATTTCATTTTGAATTCTGAACTCGAGTCAACAAATATTAATTAAGCGGACAATTCACGTTCGAATACTCCCATTTCGTGATTCACAAAGCGGATTGCTTCAAATGTCTGTCTGTGATACTTGGTGCTTACTGATCAATGCTTATTCTCTAAGAGCTGATCTTGTGCCTCATTTCATTTCTTTCTAATTGTTGAAAAGATACATGATCTTTTATGATATTCGGCAGTTTGGACAAATAAGAGATCTAGATTTTGATATATCTTTTTCAATAATGAAGAATAGTGGTTGACCATCTTTAATGAGGGTTTTGAATGGTATCCAATGGTCATGCCTATTTTCAATATAAGACATCCTAAAATCACTTCCTGTTCTGTGAATGACAGAAGGAAGCATTTTTTTCCATTGGGAACCAGAAATTCCTCTATTAGCGTAAACAAAGTGCTATTGAATAATTTATGCTGAAAATGTCTTTTAGCATATTTGATATAAATTTGCGGCATAAACCTAAAAAGGTAGATTGACAATTTTATTTGATTATTTCCTTTCCCAATGTAACTTTATAACACTACGGGTTCGAACTCTATATTTATAATTATCAAATAAACCGATACCTTATAACTCAAACTTACTAACAGTTACTTAGGGCAAGGAAGCCAAATGAATTGAATTGAATTAATAGGGTTTGCCAAACTTCATTAACACAACAGCAAAAAACCAAGAGGTTTTTTTCATTTGCATTTATTGTAATACTTTTAAACCAGTTTATTTAATCTAGCGTCAGATGCTTTTATGCATAGCTAAAATTTACAAAAAGTCAACGAAGCGCAACGGTAAACAAAATCATTAACTATAACGCAAAACTTTCTTAAACACTGGAGATGAATTGCTACTTAAAATTGTTAGTAGAATATATTTAATGAAAGTTATTTAACATTTTAGGCAATAGTGGGTATCATAGGCAAGTGGCAACAAAACATTTTTTCTTCCATGCGTTTGGAAGAAATCCAAAATCCAGTGCAATATCTTTGTTACTTTTCAAATTGACCATGAGAAATAACGGAAAAAAGTGAAATATTGAATTTTTTGCAGCTTTCAATGTTTTATTCCAATTTATATCTGCGGTTCTGCCTTTTTTACTTTTATTTAAACCTGCATAGTTTGATGGAAATCACTATTCCTTCTTCTAATTTTAATTTTTAGTTAAGGATGTTTGGCACTGTTTGCTTGTAGTTATTTATTTATTGTTATTATAAGCTGGGCAATTATTCTTGGAAATCCTGAATATGATTACTTCTTATCTACCTTTAAGTAACTAATGTAAAGCTGCACAATTAAGAAGGCAGAATATTCCGCTATAGCAAAGAAAGTCTGTTATTTCTGTATCAATGCAATTTACTTGAAAGTTCAAGAGGTGCTATGTGCATATCAAAATTTTCGTGTTGTGTGCTTTAAGATGTAAAAAGATTTTGGGCTAAGCCTTTTATTTCTGTGAGTTTGTGTTAAGCGTGAAAGTGCTTTTAAAATTCATTGGATTAAAAGTACTATAAGGAAATTAATTGAAACCGATAATGGGAGGAGAGAGTGGAACTCCAGTGCTTTCCAAGTGTTCAAAGCACTTTGCTCAGAAGCTTTAATGAACACAAGATTTAGTTCAAAAGTAAATGATGTAGCCACATGTGAATGTTTGTTTTAACTAAATGTTCTATTATAAAATTTGGATGTACACTTTCTAGTTTAACTCTTAATAGTACTACTTTTATAATCACTTTATTAAGAGGTAAGTTTTATAATGTCAGCTACAGTTGTAATATTAAATAGATAACTTTGCTCAAAATTTTAAATTAGTAGAGCAGTGTCCCAGAGGGCTTCCAATTTGTTATTTAAAATGCTCAATAATACATTCACATGTAACGGAATAGACATCAGCTTAGTTACTAGCAGTTTCAAAATTAGCACTGGCTAACATTACAGCCTTGAGTTATGCAGATCCTTGTTTTACCATGTACTGAAAATTGAATAATCCATTACCTTTAACCGGATGTTTCTATGATTTATAATACCCAAAAGTTATGAAATATCTTTAATGAGATTCTATAAAGAAGCTCTTCTTAAGTTAGCATCTCAGAAATTTCAAGTTGCAGAGGGTTAGGTTTAGACTCAGGAAATTCATTTTGGAGCAAAATCGTATGAATTAGATATAATGAGCCAAATTTATTTAGCCCAATTAAGTAGTTTAGTCATGTGACTTAATCACGCTCTTTCAATACTTGCGTCAATTTTTCTGATAATTAAATTAGTGGTGCTTTTGATCGGCAAAGATTGCAACTTCCGCCAATTTAATGTACATCTGTGATATGATGCTCAAAATCACATACAACATGCGATTAGCATAATGGCATTTTCTTGTGGCTCAACACTTAATATTTTTGCTTCAAAGCTAGCTTGTCTTTTCAATAGTTGTAAAGTAAGATTCGAGAAATATTTTGGGCTCTTGCAGAACTTAAATCTGTTCTTTCTAACATAAGCATTGAAATAAGCAATTGATGGCTAATGTGAGGGCTTGATAGTTAACTTGTTTTTCAATTCCAATATCTCTATACCAGTCCGCCTAATAAATTGGTGTCACTTGATCATTAATAACTAAAGTGTAACCGCAAAGACGTCGAAAAAAACAAACAAAATAACGGGCAACAGAAAAACGCCCCTTTCGGTTATATTTTTTCAATTATATTTATTAATATTAATAATACTAATGGGAGCCAAATATTGGTTCGGAGAGCGATGATTTATTTAATCAGTTTTGTTTAAAATTACAACAAAAAATTGTGCCAATAATTTAAGTGGATTTCTGCACATAAAATGCTCTCCAATAACAGTAATTAAAGTAAATCATGTCTTTATATCTAGAAGCGATTGTTAGGGTGAGTTTGAGAATTAGTTCTTTATTTCCCACTCATAATCATTGCATAAACAATGAATTTGAGCAAAGTGATGTAAAAAATAAACAAATCAGTGAAACTATTGTAAAAAGTGTGAAAAAAAGTGTTTTATTTGACAATGGAGGAGAGGATGTGGAAAGGAGAGGTCCTAAACAACTTTTATTCTTTTGAATTCTAAATTTACCTAATAGCAAACCTTACATTTAATGCTTTCAAGTCATTACTTAATGGTTAACTAATTTAAATCACTCACTATTACAACTTATTTCTTAAGTTCGAGTTGTAAATACAATAGGTAGGTAACTTGCCAAACTAATTCTGAACTATTTTTACACCATTTTGTAAGCAATATTTCTAAATATGATTTCTAAACTAGCAGAAATTTTTGTGAGTAGTTATTATTTTGATGAAAACAAAGGTGATGCTTGGATAGACATCAAATATAATAGTTATCTCTAGTGATCTGTTATTTATTCAAACTTCGTCGACCACCCGGTCTGTATTAATCATCACTTTGATATGTCCTCTACCGACTGTCATTTTCACATTAACAGAAACAAAGGTTATAATTAAAAAATTAAGCTTTTCCCTTTCTGAGCATAAATGTGTTTTGGTACTTACGTGCAATATATATATATATATATATATATACTTAATAATTGTGACTTTGTTTTTGGCCCCTTCATGCACTCCATTGTACTTATTATCTATTGGTTTCAATAATGTATTATTGGTTAGTAAATTTTCTTCCATTTGCTAACATTTCAAGTAATGGATGTATACTACTTCCGTTTTCCACCGGAATAGCTTTTTCGTCAATATCATATTACGCCTTAATGAATAAAGAATGGCGACAACCCATTTAATGAATTTTGCATTTACAGTTATTTTATCAGCGATTAGTCCTACCATGCCGACAGCAATGACACTCATTAAGTAGACGACGAGTTGTCTGAATCACTGGCCCATTAGTCTCGAAGAGGCTTTTTGACGCTATTGTTCCGCAATACTTCTCGTTCGTACAAACGCTCACACACACACACACAAAACGCCCAGCTGATGAAAATGACAAGTACACAAAATGCGTTAAATGATTACTTGATTGCAAGCATTTTCACATGAAATATTTTACGATTTTAGATTATTTAGTGAATGTGTAATTATTGTTCAGTCGTAAAATTAACTATTTGATTTTAATAGGAAAATAGGTCTTCGCGAAATCAATCCTATTGAAACTCGATAAAGCTTAATTAGTTTTTAGGCAAACAGTGATTCGCAATCAAACTTTAGCCCAATCGGTGACATTTTTCAAGTTTACTATTAGTTTATTATTTGCTCAGATATTATGTACTTTTATTAAATTTAAATATAAAGGCCTCTATTGTAAAACAGAAAAAGCTCTTTTTGCATGTGAGAAAACAAAATGATTTAAAAAAAGCTTTAATTATTATGGGGAAATTTCAGAGTCTCAAATAAACTTGATCTATGCGTTTGCATACTGCTAATTCCAATTCTCAGTTTCTACATGAACGTCTCAGTTGTGCAAGCGTATGCTACAATTGTATTCTTTCTATTTAGTTGCTCTGGAAATATTTTAATTAAAAATTAAGGATAAAATTACGCTCTCGTCGCGAGTGTTCAAATTTTATCTCTAATTATTTAAGTATGGAAAAAAACTAAATTGATGTACTACCTGTAGACTGACACAAGGGTAATTAGTGAAGAATGCAAGCAGTTGGCAGCTATAACATCGATGCACAATAAACGCAGGAAAGCGGAAAGAAACGTCAAAATAAATTTCTTCTCAAATAAATAATATTAGTGGTGATTAATTTGCCAAGTATTATACCTATCTGTGTATTAGGTGAGAAATGGTTAGTTCTCTTACCCCTTACATCGATCAAAATGTTATCTAGATATTCCTCAAAAGGAAATATTTCTTTGCAACAATTTCCAGCAATGTTTCATTGCAAAAGCTGAGTTTTTCACATTAACTTACAAGTTCGGAGTACAAAATTTGCCTAAAATTATATGCAAATCGTCTTGTTTTCACAATGTTCCATTTGTTTGACGAATTCGTCTAATTTCCTGTTATTTGTTTCTTTTTATCAATTCACTCAATGGAATATTTCACTCAGGTGATACTTAGTCAACAAAAAATCTCAAGTGCAAATTAAAGATCAACTTGCTATATAATTTACGCCATATGATAGTTAGTTTATTTTTATTTATTTTGGAATTGAAATCTGGCTCAATTTATTAAAGTAACTAGGTTAGAATCTAATTTTCAAAGATTGTTAACAGGTATGAGATTGGTGCCCTGAAGCACTGTTATACTACTACTTTATTGTTAGGAGTGTAGGTGGCTTGGTTTTGCTTACAAAATGAAATAATTTAATTTGACAAATAGTGTTCTGGAATCTGTTAAAAGTACTCTCTTTGGGATGCGTTTGCAAAAACTTTGCGGGCAACAATAATGATCCTTAAGAAGGCCAAACACATGTATGTTGCCATATAAGCCAAATAACTTCACAATTATGAAAGAGAGAAAGGCTGTTTGGAAACATAGTGCAAAAATAGCTTAATCGAGGTGGTACATGAGCGAAATCAATTAATTTGATTAGTCCATCGTAATCAGAGGTGAAAATTTGTCTGGCCACAACGTTTTCTTCAATTTGTTTAGTATGCTTTAAATGATATTATCATTTTTCAGAGGAATATACGAATGCTTTAACAGAGGAAGCAGAATAGTGTCGAAATTAATTATAAAGACCTTAGTTCATTGAATTTTTGGATTTATGTTCTCCACTCTTCAATAATTGGCTAGTCTATCTTCTACAACTTGTGTTTCAAGCATCTTTCTTAAGAATGCGTTTGAATCTTTTCTACGATATTTTTAACCGTTTCTACGATTTTTGACCCTTTGAAATATTCCTCAGTTTATGGCTCAAGCACTGCTTTTTAAACAAACAGTTTTCGTACGCTCCAAGTGTGTCAAAATCGTTATACATTAATATTTATTTTCTTTTTTATTGATTACTAAATTCGCACTCACTCAGTATCATATGAAATTTGCAGAAGCTTACCAAATTTTAAAGAATTAAGTTGAAAATATTTCGAAATGAGTCCGCCATTTTAAGGCACATTTAGTAAAATCGATGAAATTAATTAAACCCTCATTGAAGTTGCTAATCTTCTTCCTCCGATTATCAAATTTCATGACAGTATTTTACCTTAGACAAATTGAGTATATTTCATTTCGTAAAAGTTTGATTTATTTAGTCCTATGTCAGATATTCCTAATTCAACTTAATATTACTTGATTGGATTAATGCTGCTCTTTTAGAGTCCTCAGGTGGAGAATAAGTAAGATAAGTGAAATTGCGCATTAGGCAAACTGAAGATTAATGCTCTTAGGAAAGTAAATCAATTAATGAGGCATGATACACGTAGGAAATTAACACCAAATAGACATAGTGGGGAGTGAATGAGGGGTAAGTGGGGGCATTATAGTTAGAGACTTCTTTCAGCATCGTATTTATGTATCGTCCGTTGATTGGTTTACAAGCACATGAGGCCATAGCTCTCTCACGCAAGCAGCATTAGGCTAAACTACCAGCGAATGCAGTGAGTTCTCTCAGCCAGAGTAGTCTCACCCCCCCTCCCTCCCACCTCCCCACCTCCTCCACGTAGCCCTCTTACCTATTCTAACGGACCAATCGTTGACTTCACTGTTAACAACCAACGACGAACAAACTCTAGGACACATTTTACCTTGAGGGTGTGTCTGTGTATAGTATCTGCATCTGCTTCCAATTGTAATTATTCAGCTTTCTGATTGATGCATTTTGGATGTTATTTCGGTGGACTAGCCAAAACTCTTTTTGGTTGTTTTAATGTTCTGCAATGTTAGCTTGACGGCTATCACTATGCCACCTCTATCTTCACCTCTTAACTCAAAGGATTTAAGAGCACATAAGACGGCGGATAACGATAACGTTGTGCAGGGTCTGTTAAAGAAGGACTGGAATTGGGATTGGAAATGGGATTATAGTGACCTCTATGAAGCAAACGAAGGTAATGACAAAGGACAAAAGGATAGCATTGATCTTTCCACTGAGAGTCCATTCTATTTTATGGGATTCTATGGCCAAGACAGAATCAATGAAGGTAGGTTGGGGTGATCATATTTTCTGCGAACAAAATACTCAAGTAAGGATTATAGACCATTTAGTAGCGCCGATTTAGTACTATTAACGTCAATATGTTAAACAATTTTTATTGGTTTTATTCACATTTTGCATAAAATTAACTTCAAAATTGGCCTTATAAAATTTCAAAAGGGATGGACACGAAATATTTCTGTTTTCTTCCGATTAATTTTTTTGTGGAGGCAAAAAAGGCTTAAACATGAAGTATTTTTCATTACTAAATTGATGTAATAGTTGTTTAAAAATTGCCTTTCTGATAAAAATGAGGGTTCAACTTAAACGGGGTAGTAAATAGTAGTGATATTGCTAATGCCAGCATTTAAACTGACCGCACTATCATTGAGTTTTGAACATTTAAGTGCAGTGACAAGTATCAATAGATTACATATTATCGGTATATCATCGTGACACTATGCAGAGTATAACACAAAAAAATACTAAAAGCATTTTTAGCTATTTTATTTTTATATAGGTATAATGAAAGTGGGATTCATTATACAAGTAGCCAATACTGGAGAAAATAAATAAAATCGACAGTTTTGAGTTTATCATTATTTTGGGTTATAAAAAACCAGGAAGGTATACTGAAGAAATATCAAATGATTTTTAAAGTAAGACGAATTTAGGAACTAGATATTTAAGTCGTGTATTAAGTTTAAATGTTAGAAATTTTCAGCGCATATGATTGCTTGAAAATGCCAAGCTATTAAGTTGAATAAGGAAGGCTTTTAACAAAAAAATATGTTTCTTTAAAGGAAAGACAGCAGGTGTTAAGTTTAATTGTCAACCTTAACACTGCTACCATATGATGGTTCAAAAGTTATATTGCACATAAAAAATATGGTTTTCCATATTTTCTGAAGAAACTTTACTTTTCTGATTTCATAAACATTATATCTTTGATCTAAATTGGCTTATCTTGCCAAAATGTTTAATTTTATGGTTCATGGTATGAAAACGTAATTAAAAAGTTTCAAATAAGGGCACTTGTAAAGAATATTTTAGTATTGAAACTATTTTCCATTAATATTTTAATGAATTGATTAGAAGCATTATTCAAAATGTACTTCAAGTTCCAGTTCAATAGATCATGAAATATATTTAATTATTACATCTATTGTTATTAATTTGCGAATAATGTCACAGATTCTTCAAAATAATAAGATTTAATATTTTTCCATTTAATCATATATCCAGTTACCAAACGTCCTCCAGTCAATTCTTATCCCAATCATACAAGCCAATTTCCAAACACCGGCTTTAACGATCTGAGATTGGCAACCCTAACAACATCCACCAGAAACCCAGAGACCATTCCAAAACCTCCAAACCCTCAGACTCAGCAACGCACCTTCTTACTCACTACTCTCCTTCCGATATGTATTATAATCGTAATACTATTAGCTGTTGCATTGGCTATCGTCTGGTATTTGAAGTTCAGGGGTGGTGCTACAGGAAGAAATCAACAAAAACTTGACAATGAAGATGGTAGACCTGCTGTTGGAAATATTGATGGCAGTAATGGGGAGAGGGTTCCTCTGAAAGAAGACAAGAAAACGGAAGGAAAGAAAAATGGTCTCACCATTGCCAATAATGGAAGCCAAGTGACAAATAAAACGCCAAAGAAATCAAGTAAAGTTGTAAACTTAATTAAAATATTTATTTTAAAAAAATTTCAAATAGAGCATATATTTGATATTTAATTTTTCGTTTAAAACTATCCATTCGAAAATCCTATTTTAAGGAACTTTATTAAATATTCCATCTATTTTATGATTTACTATGTTTTCTGATTAGAATTTACATTGACAAAATATTTAAAATAAAGAGTTAAATTGTATTATCTAAACAAATTTTCTTTTTCTTCCAAAATTCGAGTTATATATACATATATATATATATATATATATTGAGATTTTTTCTTTATTTAATTTTCATATAATGGTGTAATGTTACTTTTGAACCACAAATATTTCTGTTATAGGTTACACTTGACATTTTATTGCTCTTGTTAATTGTTAATGAGAGTCCTTATAACATGTAATTATTGATCTACCATTGTAGAAAGTGGATTTTGACCTTATTTAAGCCTGTGAGCTTTTAAGGTAATGCAAAATGTCAATTCAATAAAGTCAATTTAGTACTCATACAGACAAATGTTGATTTTATTTGAATTGATATGTAAAATTAATAAAATTTGCTCGATTTTTTGAAAATGGAACCTTTTCAGGCATATCATTAAGAGGACTTAATTTATTTAAGTATCAATTTAAGTTTGCTTTTTAAGCCTAGGTTTTGATTTAGATATTATGCAAATGATTTAGTTCTGCCTACTTGAATTTAATGAGCCTTACATTTCTTGAACAAATACGTGTTTGCCATTGCTGTATATAACACTTATTCTTCTTTTTAAGAAAATTTTTTCGTTTCTCTTCCAAGACTTCCAAAGAGGATTCGAAACTTTACTTTCATTTAGTCCTTATAATTTGAGCACCTTGTAATACTTAGAGCAGTTAATTGTGTTGTACACTTTCATTTAGCACATTAGACCCTATTTATTTCCATTAAGAGGAGAGTTGTAGTACTCATGAATGCAATTTCGAAAGATTTCATTTAGCACTTGATTTGAAAGTTAGGGTAGAATATTACTATCTATGAATGAAATTTTATACATTTTAAGTAGAGGTATTTTAACTTTTTGGAGTATTCTATAAATCAGTATAACGTTACTTGTTTTTGTGAATATTTTACCTTTCTATCATTGTTATTTGCACAAATTATTTTATAAAACATGAAAATATGTAATTGAGTTTAAAAAGCTGGGATAAAATGCACGATATTATGGCTTATTAAATTTAGCTATTAAAGTCATTGCCTTTCATTCTACTGAGCAAATTAAAAGTTATAATTCTCCTTAAAGGGATTGCATTTATGGCTTACAAAAAAATTTATTAAAGTTCATTTTTTTAAATTTAATTTGAATGGGTACTTGAATACACATTGTATCCCTGAAATAATATAAATGTCTTTAAAATAATGGCAATAAATCAAATTGATTTTCAAAATTAGGAAATAGCATTAAATTGGTTTAAAATTTCGGTATTTGTGCGTATAATGGAAAAGCGTTTGGCTTTTAGTATAACAATATTCGTATTTTAAGAACTTAACTTTCGGCTGGAATGGTGTTGTTAATATTTTCTGAAAACCAACTCAATAGGTGGCACTGTTCTACATAGCTATTGTTCGCCTGTGCACTGGTAGTAAAATAATGGGAACTATTTAGCTCTCAGCTATAAAGACCGGAATTATATATGCATGAAATAAATTCTTAAACCATCTATTTATTATTATTCTTCTTATTATTATTAATGTTGTTATTAGTCGAATGATATTTGCAACAAATAGGCAGATGATTTCGCAGTGACTAATATTTGTACTTTTAATACCTCAAATCAGTTGCCATGTTGTGGTTGTGTTTTCCTTTTAGTTGTGTGAGTTATTTTCATATTGAAAGTATTGTTATTTTCATTGACTGAATAAAAGAAGGGATTTGTTTTTTTAGTCAACGTATTCATAATAAGGCACGATTGCAACAACGTTCGTCCTTCGGTATTTTTTATTGAGAGAAATTCAAAAAACTAGTTTAAAATTTAAACGCTTCCTTTGAATTTAATCTGCCACCTCCGAAATTCCCCATTAGCTTGCGCTGAGTAGGAGTATTTGCTTTCGTCTAATCTTAAATTTGATGGCGTTAGAATGAAGGTCACAATATTGGCCAATTTACTTGAGAGAGAAAATTCTCACACATTTGTGTTTGCAAACCGACATCTCACTGTTCAAATTGTGCATGCTTAAAAGATTAAGCAGTGGTGCGCTTTTTTCTCCACAAATAAAGTTATTTCATGTGGTATAAATTTGATTTGAGCGTTCTAAGCATAAAATATAGTGTTTTAAGGTTATCATTATTCACCCTACCAACTATCAATGAATTTGTCTCATTAAGTGCAAATGGTAACGAAGTGGGCCATTATTTACGTATTTTTGAAAAGTTCGAAAAAATTGAATCAACCATTTTTAATCGCGTGGGATTGCCAAAGTTGTGACGGTTATTGGAAGTGCTCTTCGAGGGAGTGGTAAACACATTAATTATTGAATGCTTTATTTCTAACTAGGGCTTTGCGCTATTGTGGTTAATAAAGTGGATTCGCTTCCTCCTATTAAACTTGGTTTAATCAATAATGCCTACTACAGGGTCGACTATACACCAAAAGAAAAATGATTTGGCGAAGCTAATCGGCGCTTAATATTCTTCTAACTCATTCCTTAAATTTCATTTCAACTCTCAAACTACAACAGCATATTCAACAGTATTATCTGAATCTTTGTATATTCAAATGGTGCAAAGCATACTTAGTAATACACTGGTATAGCGAAATGTCATATCCGTAAAGAGTTATTAGTTTGGGAAATAATATAATAGAGTTCCCAGTGTTCATTTTCGATGCCATCTTATGCGTCTTCAACTACTTTAAAGCTTCAAAGTGGCTCAAAATTGGTGCCTCTTATTTTACAATGGTATCAATTACTTAGACGGAGTCGATAACTCTTACCCAGACACATGCACAGCCTTTTTTAATTTCGCCAAAGTGAGCAGAAAATAAAAAAAATTAAATCCTAAAAACACGGATGGAATGTTAAGCCAACGTTTATTGCTAATCTCCACACAAATTTCATTATTCTAACTCGATAGAGTGAGGTTTTGTTGTAAAACTCTAAAGAAACTTTACTCGATCATTAAATTGTGAATGACAATATATTAGTACTTAAAAGTTATACGTAAAGACCAAGCTTCTTTCAATTTCGTTTTGTGAATCTTTCTTCGTTCATTCTTTTAATTATTGAAGAAGAGAATTTGTTAAAAAACTTCTCATTTCGAGTATTTGTTTAAAAAATATTAACTATATATTCGTCTTTTTTGCTTCATTATATCAATTTGAAATTGTAAATTATGGGCTTCGATGAATTTTTATCTTCATTACCATAAATATGATATTTCTTTTAATACGTTTTCCAAAATTTCGTCAAAAGAATTCAAGGCGCCTTAATTTATGTGTGATTGTACTTTGTTAAAATGTAATTTTATTCACTTTATGCATTCATTCTCTGATTTCATACATTGAACAACCTCTCGAGGAAATGACATATTTTTCAGCAAAAATGTTGTGGATAAAGAGGCTCAAATGGAAAACTAAGATCCATTGACAGCCTTACGTTTTGAAAAAAGGCATTTTCATCTTTCATGTTATTTGGTGACTAAAAATGTAAATCCGTACGTCTTTTAGTCGAAAT